GATCTCCTGCTGTTGATTAGTATGCGCTGGGCTCGGCCCAATTCTCCCACTCATGTTTTTTTTTTCTTCTTTTGGTGAAATGCTAATTTTAGTCCATTCTCGCTCTTCTTGCCATCAAACTGAGCTTAGCCTAGTCTCAATCAAAGCCTTTTTCTCTGACTATTGGGCCTTGGTCTCTTTCTTCTTAAAAAACAAATTTGACTCAAAACCTAATATCTTTTCTAATAGTAATTTGTTAATGCCATCAAATTAACTGACTTAGTAATGATAAAATAGCCAAACCTAATAAAATCAATTTTTTGTATATTATATATAATAAAATCATCGATTAATTATATTATTTTAAATTAAAAAGGAATTGTTTTGAGCACAACGCTAAGTTGATCCTATGTTTTCGAAATATAATTAAATATGATGCACTAAGTACTTGCACAATTCTTTTAAATTTGTAAAGTTATTTTGTTTTAAGCACAAATGGTTTCGTTTATAGATTATGAGGATAAGATTACAAATGATGTCTCGGTTATTTGTTGAATTGAAATTTAAGCAACTATTGTATATATTTCTAAAATAGAACGATAACAATGTAATAAATTTTTTCAGAACAATATAATTGTGAGTCCTCTATTGCATAAATGAAGTCATCTATGCAGAAGCAGAAGTATCATCTGGTTTAAGAAGAACACCTCCAAGGCCTATTTCATTACTAGGTATGAAGTTATTTACGTTATTGAGAAGCAAGACCTCTTCTGGGGATGACTCATCTAGGTTCCCATAACGTTTCCACATCTTGTGAAGTTGTTTTCCAAACCTCTTCATTGGTGTTATGTTCTTGCACACAACCTGTGAACGTCTCCTTGAAGGGATCTTATGACTCCAAAAATATGGATTTTCCCAACCTAAGAAACAATATACTAATTGTTAGAAATATAATTAAGAAGAGCAAAATTATTCAAAGAAGAACTTAGCTTATATATATATATACCATTACCTGAATCATAGCTTGAAACAAGAACATTGTGTTTACCTTTGAGTTTTTTAAGGTTATCAAGGTACTCTGGTTGAAAATGAGTGGGAAGATAATCCTCAAGGTTACCCCTTTTCCTGTATCTTGATCCACATGCATTGCACAACACTGGCTTCTCTTCTGGTCCATTACGCCAAAGTGGAGTAACTGGTAACAATAACAAAACCATTCCTATCGATCAATAATTTGAGTCTTTTTTCTTTTCATTCTTCTTCTATTCATCACCATTTATGGCTTATTATTACATACACCTAAATGAAAACTGATTTTCCAAAGTCTTTAGCAGAATTTGTCATATAGAATAATTCCTCCTGCTGGCCTAGTGTATAGTTAAAAGAATTATAGTACTTTTAGATAGCCTACTAAGTTTTTATTTTTATCTTTTGGCAAAACCTACAAAGGGTTTGATAGGATCATTTTTCTTTTGATAAGTAGAATCATTTTCTTTAGCAATAGCTAGGTAGGCTAACCCCTAAATTTCAATTTAAATAATAATTCAGAATAAAACAATTTAAAGGTAATATAAAAAAAATTCCTTAATATTGAAGGAAAAAAAAAACATTTGTTATAATCTCCTAACACTATTTATTTACTGGAAAAATAATTGAAATATGGAGACTTAAATTTGATATCTCATTATAAACATCTCTGTAATTTCTAATTTTTAAAAAATCATTCGCATCTCTCATTATAAATGTCACTACATTTCAATTAATGCAATTACAATTTAACATATATGCATTAATTGAAGTATTAATTTTTTGTTTGTCATTTATTTGTTTATTCTTAAAAGTTCAATAAATCTAGCAAATCAAGTTGAGTCAATTTCAATCACTGTGTTTGGTAAAAGAAAATATAAAAAAAATCATGGTTTTCTTTTGGATACATAAATCATGGTGTTTAATATGAGCGTGTGTAAACCTGAGTTAGTATTAAAAATTATTTAATAGATATAAATTTGAATTAAAAAATTCTTATTTAATATATCTAATTATCTATTTTGTTAAAAAAATAACTGAATAGTTGATAGAAATAGTGTCTATTAAATAAATGTATAATGAAAAAATGTATTAATTAGACTTTGACATTTTAAAATGTCAAACGTTTTCTGGAAAAAAAACAAGGCTAAATGGACTAAATATTTGTGGTGGAGGGAGTAATTAAAAATAAATAATTTATATCTAAAAAAATACAGTTGAAGAAATAAAAGGTGAGTTTGACCTTTGACGCAATTGAGTGCATGTCCAAACACAGACTTAGCGGCTTAGATAAGAGGAAAAGAACTTGATTAGGACGTGCTTACCTCTATTTTTATTTATTATTTTCATTTTCTTGTTTCACGATTACTATCTTGTTTTCGCTTTGTTTACTGTACAAATTTTTCAAAATAAAAATCAAACTATAAAAAAAAATAACAGTATTATTGTTATTTAAAAGTGATAACATAAAATGAATCGGTAAATGAAAAAAAAAGTTAAATTTTTTATTTTTATTTTTAAAGATTCACTTATTTTACCTTTTAATTTTTATAGTTAAAAATAAACATTTTTAGATTCTTAAACTTATATTTTTCAATCATTTTTAAGTCTTTATATTTATAATTTTTTAATTATTTTAATCCACGTCATTAATTCTTTTTGTAATATTATTTATTTTATGTTGACATTACATAGATCTTCAATTATGAGAATAAAAAAATATAACATGAGACATACAAAAAATACAAAAAACGTTAAGTAACAAAATACAAAAAACGTTAAAAGATCTAATTTAAAATAATTTTAACAAAATAAATTTAACATCAGACATACAAAATTAAACTAATATCTTTATCATGTCAATACAAAAGAGATATAGCATTACAAAAAGAAATTAACAAAATAAATTAAATTGAAAAAAAAAAACTTTAAGTATAAGGAATAAAAAGATTTATTTTAAACTATAAAAACTAAAAAGGATTAAAAGGGATAAGTATAAAAACTAAAAATATCTATTTTAAATTATATGAACTAAAATATAAAACAAGTGAAACTATAAGAACTAAAAGAGTATTTTAACCATAAAAAAGGGTAATCAAACCTTAAGAATATGTTTGATTCAAAAGAGTAGAAGGAAGGGAAAGAAAGGAGAGAGATTAGAATTTTAATTTGATTAAGAGGAAGGAAAGATCTTAGAATAGTGGATTTAAGTCTAACTCAATCCTACAAAATCAGCTTGTAAGGTGAGAGTTGTTTTCTACTTATACACTAAGTAATCTCTAGTCGATGTGAGACTTGAATTTTTTCCAATACACCCCCTCATGTCCAATACTATCGGGCTTGGAGCGTGAATAAATGGTGGATAGCCCTTTTTTAATGATTTAGGTTTGGCGGGACTTGAGTTTTTTTTCTCAATACACCCCCTCATGCCCATGGTGCAGTATCAATGGTAGGTGACCCATTTTTAAGAATCTAAGATAGCTCTGATACCATCTTAGAATAGTGAATTTAAGTCTAACTCAACCCTACAAAATCAACTTGTAAGGTGAAAGTTGCTTTTCACTTATATACTAAATAATTGCTAAATTTCTAGTCGATGTGAGACTTGGATTTTTCCTAATAAAAGAGGAGCAAGATAACTCTTTTTTGTTTGATTCATAATGAGAGACAAGAATTTTATATATTCAATTTACTTTTATATATATCCTTATATAGTTTGAATTTAAAAGTACAAGTAAGGATATTTGAGAAATTATACTAAAAATGTTTTAAAACTCCATTCTTCCCTTTTAAATTATTTAATATTGAAAGAAAGTTAAAATTACATATGAGAAAGGGATTTTATTCCCCTATGTACTCTCCTTTCCTCCTAAAATTTGAGCTAACCAAGAAAATTTTATAATAAATTTCTCTTCCATTCTCTTTTTCTCTATCTCTCCAACTGAACATTATGTAATGGCTCAAACTTTTATATATCATAAATATTTAATTACATCATTATTGCATGAGTTAAAATTAACTTAAAACACCAAAGTAATTCTAAAAGGTCAATAGTTTTTATTGATGATGCCATTACTTTTTTTTTAGCAGTTTCAATTCTTTCCGTGTCTTTAAATGTCTTAAATTTTTAGAATAATTTTTTTTTTCTTTCTCAAGCTTAATTAATGGTCAAACAAAGTCAATAATTATAAGGTCTGTTTTAAAATATGAGATCAATATAATGTTTTCATGACTTATTTCTATTAATATTAAAATAATATTTTGTTAATAAAAGTCAAAACGTCCCACAAGTGCAAATTAGTCTAATTGTCAATTTGTGGATATTGTGTAAAAAAAAAATTCTAAACCCTAAATCCTAAACTTAATTAATGAAAAAGTGTGTAAATCAAAGTATTTAATGTATGTTTGAATATCAATTTAATATCATGTTTACTAAAAAAATATGTATTTCAAAGAAAAATCAAAAACTTATGAGTTTAATTTTTTTAACCTCAGATGAGTTAAACTCAATTACTTCCTAAATACATCCTTAATATTATGTTCTAAGACATATGTTTAAAAAGTGAAAAGAAAGCCTAAATTTTTGGAGGTTCATCAAAATAATTCATTCATATCTTTTCCTGAAGATTCATATTAATTCATTCAAATATTACAATTTAACCAAGAGTTGCAATGGTTTCGTTCTATTATAAACTATACCATATATACAAACACTACATGATATCTAACGGAAGAAAAAATTAATGGAACAAAAATTCTAAGCACCAGAAGAGGACTTACAATTGATTCCGCAATGGAAGCAAGGACCATGCTTTTTATTCCCCATTTTGTAAAGTTCCTTTGCTCCAATAACCATAAATTTTAGTCATCAGAAAAGCACATAAACCTTGAAATGAAATCCACATGTAAAAGAACATCTAAAAATTTACGTTGCATAATTAAAGATGGAGAGTTCAAGTTGAAGGGATAGTGGGTGGAAGAGAATAAAACTTAAGTCAACTAGAGTTACTCAAATGCTTAAGGTTCCAAAATTTTCAACCTTTGTGTGCGTTTCTTCTTGTAATAGCTTCTTTACTTTTCCTTTCTGTCTTTCTTTTTTGTTTAGGTGGTAGCTTCCTCTATTTCCCTTCACTCGCTTTCTTCTTCTCTTCAAGTTTGTTCATATGCATTGACCCATTTAAATTCACATGAAAAAGGATAACAAATAGCTCAAATGCCTATATATCATCATGTAGGTACAAAAATGCAGCCGTTACCTTTTACAACACAAATGAACTTAAATAGGGTACTAAAAAAATTTATTATAATATAAAGGAGAGAAATGGAGGTGAGACCGGGGACTAAGCTCTAAAAAATTATGAGAATTTTACTGATTACCATGATTTTAAGAGTTTGGATGAATACAAATTTAAAAATGTTTTTAAATTTTTTTATTGAAAATTAAGAGTTTTTATAGTAGAAATTTTTTCAAAAATAACTTGTATTTAAATATATTCAAATGCAATTGATAAATAAACTGATAAAATATGTTAAGAGGTTGATAAATGACCATGATATAAGATTTTTTTTTAAAGAAGAAATAAGACCCATTTTAGTAATCGATATCTCTACGTCTTTTAAAAAAATGAGTTTCCAACTATTAATTTGGAATTATATTCGGTGTAAACAATTTTTTTAATGAAAATGTTGGTTGTTTAGTATTTATTATTTTGAATAGAATGAAATGTAACTATAATAATATTTTTACTTTGTGTCCACTTTTTTTTTTAGACATTTATATTTTTTTCCATGTTTTAGTTTTTTTTCACTAATATATCTTTTAAAGATAAATAGAATAAAAATATGTATATATTAATGTTTTTAAAGTTAGACCAATCATTATATAATTTAGATACTAGTTTAAGATTTAATGCTTGAATCGTAATTGAATCGTGATTAAAATAATATTAATAAAATAATAATAATTATTACTCTTAATGCAAAAATAGTATAAATAAATATAATTTTACAATTTTATAATACTAAATATTAAAATAAAATATTATTTATAGATCTTTAATATTTAATATATACGTAAAATTCTAAATTGTGTATAATATAATATTTAAGTTTAAGTTTTAATAAAATATAGCAATATATAATAATAATAATAACAATAATAATAATAATAATAACTTTACATCTAAAATAAAAATTATCAAATTAATATAATACAAATTATAAAAAATAAACATATTAAAAATTATAATTTAACATAAATTATTAAATTATATTTATGAAACAAAGATTAAAAATAAGTCATTCTAATTTATAAGTTTTTATTAAATATTATTTTATTAAAATATTTAAATTATTTTTTTTTAAAATTAATTGGACTGATTCAAACTAATTTGACCGATCATTAGGATTATTCTAATGGTTCGGTAGGGAGATGTTGAGATAGTTAGAAGCATGTAAACCTAAATTTATTCTTCATTGCGATCATCTTTGTAATTTTTCCTATCTTTATAATAAAAAAATCAATTTAACCTTTTTTTTTATACCAATTTTGACAAATTCTATTGTTTTTTCATTTATTCAATACGAAATAGTTTCTTGGTCGAATCAAACTAGTTAGAACCAATTTTTGATCTAATCGGATCAATCGATTTAGTCCAATTATGAGATATATTAAATTATAATCTCTCTCTATAATTTTTATTTTATTTTTATCGTTATTAATCTTTAGTTTATAAAATTTATTTTAATTATTCTGATATATATATATTTGTATGTATAATAATTTATCTTTTCTTTTATATTTTGAGTTGTGATAAATTTAATTATATATTTAAAAATATTTTTAATTGTTATTTTCATATGAAATATTTCAAAGTAATGATTTCTTAATTATTATATGTGTCAACCAAATGAGTTAAGTCTCTTGATCAAAGTATTGAAGCTAAAAATATAAAGTTATATATGTAAGAAATTAAAATAATTAAACACAAATCGTAAGATAGTATTTATATAGATAATATTATTAATGTTATATGAGGGAGGTTATAACAATATCGGTATAACTTTTATTAAGTTTATACTATTCAATAATTTTATATTTAATGTGAATTTTGTAAATTCAATCATTAGATTAAAAGATTAAATCACTTTATATGTTTATATTAAATTTTGTTAAAATTAAACAACTTAAGATAATCAAAATGTTTATATTTTAACATATTTTGAAATGTATATATTACGTCAATTTTATTTTTATAAGAATGAGGTATCAAATTATCTTAAATTAATATAAAATTTTGTATATATGATCTAAGAGTAAAAAACTTTTAATCTAACAGTTGAATTTTATAAAATTCACATTTAATATAAAGTTATTGAACAGTGTAATATCACTACAAGAAAACATTGAAATAGCTGCTAAAAATAAGTGTCAACTAATAATTGACACAAATACTGTTAAAAAAGCTGACGCTATTTTAAAATGTAACGTCGGCTTTTTCGACACTAAAATTAATTTGAATTTAGTGTCGGAAAAGCTGACATTATTCTTTAAATATAGCGTCAACTTTTTTGACACTAACTTAATTTAAATTAGTGTCGAAAAAGTCAACACTATATGTAAAGAATAACGTTGACTTTTTCGATACTAACTTAAATTAAGTTTAGTGTCGAAAAATCTGACGTTATTTCTTTAGATATATTATCCACTTTTTTGATGCTAATTTAAATTAAGTTAGTGTCAGAAAAGTTGACGCTATATGTAAAGAATAACATCGGCTTTTATGACACTAAACTCAATTTAAATTTAGTGTCAGAAAAGTCGATACTATATCTAAAGAATAATGTTGACTTTTTTGATACTATACATGCTTTGAGAGAGATAAAATAATTTTTTCAATTTTATATACGCATATTATGTTGTGATGCAGTTGGTTATCAAGTTAACTTAACACATCAAAGTTTCAGGATCGAGTCTCGACAAGGCTAAAAAACACGAACACTTAAATGATAAGCTGAAAAAAGAAGATAATGAAAAATAAAATAAAATTTTGAGTCTCGACAATGCTAAAAATATGAACAAATAAATGATAAGCTAAAAATTAAAATAAATAAAATTATAGCCGATAAAAAAATTGTGTCAATTTATTTAGAGTTATAAATATAATGTTACATCTTTTGACCGACTCTAAAGTGAAACATTTTTATAGTGTATTTACTAAAAGTTATAGTGTTATTATAACTCTCCTCATGTTATATTTATAAGGTAGTATTAATGTATCACAAAATATTTATAAGGTAATATTAATGAAGCATTAATTAATGTTATTAATGTAACTTTAATATACTTTTTTATTTATAGGAATCCAAGTTGGACCAATACGTAGTTTTTATTAATGTACTATCACTCTCGCACCCTATGTAAGCCACTAAACCATTAATCTAAGTAGTTTTTATGCCACCGGATAACGCTTTAGGCAAAATACGAAACTAATTATCTAGTTTTAAAATGACTAATGTAATCGAGCTTTTAAGAATTTTAACAAAGTAATTGTCAGGTTTGTTCTATAAGATATAAATTTTGGCCTATGCTTTCAAAATCGATTTTCGCTGTATTAAAAATAAAGAATCCTTTTACTTCACGATTAAGTCTACCTAAATTTATTCCATTCAATAATTTATGTTCTACATTAAATTCAAACGATTCAACTGTTCAATTTCAAGTTTTTAATACATAAATAAAATCTGTAAATTTTTAAAAAAATTTGAAAATCATTTGATATTTCATTTTATTAATTCAAATTGACAAATAATCATAAAATCATTTTATACATTGATTCGAATTAATGAAACGAAGTATTAAATGATTTTTAAATTTTCTAAAAATTTGCAGATTTGATCTATGCATTAAACGGTTGGATCGTTAAAATTTGATGTAGAACATGACTTATTGAACGGAGTAAGTCTAGGTAGACTTACTCCTGGAGTAAAAGGATCCCTCCTATATATATATATATATATGAGTTAATCATCCCTACACTGCTAACCAATCATATATTTTAAAGTTGCTTATTTTATTATTATTTCATTAAATAAGCAACTGACATGTCACTTTCAAAAGATATGATTGGTTGCCAGTGTAAATTTTTTTTACACTGACAGTGTATAGATGATTAACTTATGACTCCAACTGTGCGCTTCCCAGATAAGATCGTAACAACCTTATTTTTTTTGAGGGAAGCATCCGTCAATGACTCTGCACATGGTGCAAGTGTCGTAACAACCTTATTATTCCAACCTTTCTTCTTTTATCATGGAAACTGTGTTAGAATGATAGTTTTTAGAGTTCGGCTGACTGCGTCAAATATTATAAACTCTTTTAATATAAAGTTTGATTTTAATAGATAAAACATTTGTTTTATTAAATATTTATTTATTGACTTGTGTAGTTTCTATTGGTAATATAAAATTTAGATTGATATAAGATGTAACTTATATAAGATTTAATCGTCAATTTCTTTGAGAAGTTTTAGTGAAATTATGGATCGAAGTGTTAACTAATAGGAACCAACAAAATTTAATTAGTTGTGTCCTCTTGTGGGACATTATGTAAAATAATATAATGTTTCATACATATACACATATATATTTTAAAATAAAATATATTATTAATATGAAATATTTATCAATTTTATTAATAATTAATTTTTGTTAAAAAGTTAATTATAGTATAATATTTTTTTTTTCATTTATAAGACTTAAACATAAACCTTATTTAAGAAAATCAAGTCTAGTTTCACTAAGATTAACAATTTGAACCAAAGCAATCTCTTGTGATTTTGTTTAGTTAGACTTTTGCGAGTTTTCAAATTTCTTATTCAAAAAATTACCTAAAATTTTATAATATTATGCTATTTATTTAAGAGTTTAACATCTAAAATAAGGTTAAAAATATATAAATATTGAAATTTTTCTATCACCAAATATATTTAATATCAATTCTTATCTTATTATTTTTATAAAAAAAATTCAATACAACTTTAATTATTATATTAAATGTTTTCTTCACTTAAAATAAAATTATTCTTGAATGTTTTGAATAATTTACAATTTTTCATTCCAAAGGTCAATTTAATAACTTATAATTCTATAAAAT